AAGAATTTTACCAAAAAAAAAAAAAACAAAAAATAGCAAATCTCTTAAATTTTAACATTACCATTCTGTTTTTAAATTTTTTTTCCTGAACTAAAACTAAATTCTTTACGATAATCCCTTTTTATGTTCATCCCTAACAATAATCAAACATAAGGTAAATCAAAATGGACAGCAAAGTTTCCACGTATTTTTTTATTTGAATTTCATAAAATTCTCTTTGCTCATTTTCATTTTTTATTACAAAAATATTTTTATTATTTTAAGCATCTTTTTTTTTTGACTTTCGTTTTTCAATTTTACTATTTTCATTACACGACTTCGATTTTATTCTTTTTATTATTATCATTAAAGGATAAATTTCAGGTGATAAAAAAAGAACCAAAAGAAATCTTATCCACCTGTCCAATTTAAAAATCAAAATTTCAGACATTTAAAGCTAAAGGAATTTGGATCTTGATATAACGAATTTAAGACCAGCACTTTTACTGTAGACTATGCTTTAGGTGTTATTACTAAAAAACTGTTTACGAAGTTCATATGTACGCGCACATGACGTACTTATATAAACATCAAACCGAAATCTTATAGAACTATTCCAAGTCCTGCGGGTTATGAATTCTGCCACCGTTGTTTTTAGACAAAATTTCTTTGAAAATAGTAATCACACTGACTGACTTTAAGTTTTGTGCTTCAATAATAATTTATAACGAAAATTAAAATTATTATTTCCTTAAAAATAAAATATACTACACTGCTTCACTGAAAAATATAACATCTCGCCTTTTAAAACAAAATTTTTTAACAATCATTTTGGATTATCATAATTTTTACACCTTGAATGAGCTACTCGTATAAAAATAGTGTTAAATATCCGTATTCAAGATGGTAGCCAGTCTATTATCTATTGAGAACTTAGAACTTAGAAGTTAAAATTTCTGGTTTTCAATTATATCTGTTTTAATAAAATAAATTCAAAATTAAATATTCTCAACTTCGAAAAAATGAAATTAAAACTGAAAATATATTGCGATGTTTTTAGAGGTTCAAAACCATAGACGGTCAAAATAAAATAATTTAGTGCATTTGTAATTTTCGTTCTACTATATTATACTCCCATTCATTTAGGTGTAGAATCATTATGAAAATAAATAAGTTTTTGTGCTGTTTATTTCTGTAATAAAATTTTAGACATTAACAAGAATCGTAACATTAAGAACAACAAAAATACCATAAAAATAACAAAAAAAACATTATAAACAAGGATAATAAATGAGAAAAAAAGGTGTTCTTCTAACTGTTACTAATAAAATATAAAAAAAAACTCCGATTACTTTGGAATATGCGGGTACCAAAATAAATGCAAATGTGTACAAAAGTAAAAGGTAAAGCAGATCCAGTTGAATTCGTATATAACTGACAGCAACATGATTTTTTAAAATTAAAACTGAGATTGGTTTTACGTCCTTTTTTTCGGTTTTCACTTTCCCCATTCCATCCTTACTTACCTTTTGGTTAATTCTTTTTTATGTTGTTTAAAAAGTTGGTTTGAGGAAATGAAAAATTTCATAACTTAATAAAAACTGAATGAAAATTATGTAGATTCCGTTTTTTTAATTTTATTTTTGTGTTTGTTGTTTGTAATACTGTGTAAAAGGATTTTTTATTTTAAAATTCGAATATGAAAATATCACCAGAATCTTTTTTATACGAACATTTTATGTAGCCCATTGTAAAATGAGAAAATCAGTCTGTTTAAAGAAACATAAATAGATTAAACGCGATTTTTTCGAAAAATAATATTGAAACATGTTTTTCATAATGGAAAATTATAAAAAATTTTTTGTGAAATTAGAAAATTAGAAATAAATTTGTTAAAGCGTCAGTATAGAATAGATTTAATTTGAGTTTCTTATTCATTAAAATTATGTGCCCTTTTTTATCCCTTTAAAAATTGTTGCTAGTTACCAAGAATTTTATAACGTACTCAGAGTATGTTTAATAACAACAGCAGTTAAATTTTATTAATTTTCAAAGTCTTTGTGAAAATATTGAATCCAAAAATTTAATTAATTCTTGTAATTGCATTCGAATCAAATTAATATCAAAAACATTTTAGTAATTAAATTTTTTTTGTGTTATTAATTATTATTAAATTTAAATAACTTATCTTTTGGTAATTTGTGACTAAGTAATTTCGATTCTAGAAGACGGTAAATCATAAGATATTCAAAGATCTTATTATATAATCACCATCTTTCGTAATAGACCTAAACTTATATAATATCTTATACGTATATTCACTTCTAAAAAGTTTATTCGTTCTTCTATTGGAATTTTTTTAATATTAAGTGTACAAAATGATATTAGTATACTCGTATTTATGAAAATACAATTCAAAATTTCTCGACAATTTTAAAAACAATTTAAAGTCTAAAAATATGTTTAAAATTTGAGGTAAAGTAATTAAAACATTTTATTCAGCACTTAAATTTTTTGCACAAAAATTTCCAAGCTTCTATGTAAAAACGAAGTGTTATTAAAAAAATTTACAAAGACTGAAAAATTAAAACAAAAAGCCTTAAGATTGAAATATTTTCTTGACTTTAATCGAAAAAGAAATTTTACGGTACATTTCAAAAATTTCTTTCTCATGTTGCAATTTAATAAACAGTGAACACAAAAAGAAAAAATAATTTATACAAAATCACCTGAGCCAAAAATTCTTTCACTTTAAAAGTATGTCAGCAGATAATTTTGCATTCATTTACACTATAAAATACACTTGATGCGGTAAATCTTCTCATTAACTTACAGAGATTCTCATTCTTAATTCCTAAAAGAAGGAATCATATTAATTTAAAAATGTGGGAAAACAGCTTCAATCAAAAAGCTATAGAAATTTTATTTATTTTTCTTATTATGTTTTGCAAAAGTCTCCTTTTCATTATATTCAACGTTTCAAAATCTAAACTAAAAATATTATCAAAAGAATTACAATTATTCACACTTACTACATTTTTTACACATACTTAAAATTCACTAACGAATTTCTTTTTTCATGAATATACAAATATCAAGGACCCTCAAATTTTCCCCCACGTTTTATTTATAGCTATAAGAAATTTCATGTAGCAGATCTTTAATTTCACTGCACAATTGCGTACATATGTATCTCATGTTCGGCTGAACCAATTTTAGTTAAATTTTATACGTAAGTTTATTTTGGCTATGTCACGTATTGATCAATTTTTGTAATGTATCAGGTCTGGGAAACTGAAAGATTTTACATTTTTGGTAATTTTCAAAACAATATTTAACATATTTTTTTAAAATTTCATACAAGCTTCGCTGGACAGTACAACGAACAACCCAAATTTTAGAAGAAATAAGATATTAGCAATTAGATTTCTGCTACGGTCCAGATTTACATTTTTTTGCAGATAAAAAGAAACAATTAACCGATTTTTTTTAAATTTAATGTTTAAACTCAATTGAAGCTTCAATTGAAGCTTCGAACTTATAAATTTTGGGAGTTTGAGGGTTCAGAAATCGATCTAGGGGCCGATTTTATCTTTTTTACCCAACCAAAGGAATTAGTTGATGAAATTTGCTGAAATTTCATATTAGAGTTCTGTTTACTATTGAAAGTAACTGACGAAACGGATTAATGGAAGTTAATTTTTTAAGGAATTCGGAAGACATAAAAGGGAATCCTTACTAAGAGCCAAACTTACTTAACTTAAACTTCATGTAATGCCTTATAGTCGGCTATGTGCTGTTCACACATGATTTTTTTATTTAAATTGCTTAATTTGGCAAATATTAACTTTTTTATGTGTATATAAAAGAAACCATCAACCGTTTAAAATTTACGCTTTTTTATATTCGAGATGGAAAAAATGAATACAATTTTAATTGCTTCGTATTTTATTTTCATTTTAAGAATATTTTGTGGAACTTGTTTAGCGATTGGTGTCAATCAATTTACACCTTACAATTTGTTATAAGTATCATTCATCAATGAAAAACACTTTCGTAAAAAAGCAAAATCTAAAAAACAAGCAAAATATTTTATACACTCACGTTCAATTGGATTAAAATGAAACATTTTCAATAACATCTGGGAAAAACCATTTTTAATTTATTTTCATTTGGAATTGGCTAATTTCATATTATATAAAAGTATTCAAACCATGAAACTGATTCAAGCACGAAATTTTTTTGCTATTTTTCGTTGTTTACCAATTAAAAATAAAAAAAATTAATAAAATTACTTCAAAATTTCTACGTTGTTCATTCAAAAATTCCCTTCGAAACAAATTTTTTAAGTGGATTTCCTAACCGCGATATATGCAAAAATACAAAACAATTTGAAATTCAATTCTTTCGAATTATATCTCAGAATGTATAGCTGACCACATTTATTAGCATAACTTTTATATTTTATTAACATGATTTTATTAAATAACTGAATTGCCAATTCCCAATTTGTTTCAAATTTATTTCAAATATAATTATAAGAGATTATAACTTCCATTGCTGAAGAGTTATTAAAAATTTAAATTCATAATAAAATTATGAAGCGCCACGCTCCACTTAAGCTACATTCATTTGTAACTACTAAATTTATTCAAGTACTTTTTTAATCGCTACAGGAACGATATGATATGCATCATATTTGTAAAAAATAAAAAAAGGTTCCGACAACTGCTTGAAGAACTTCCTTATTTTTTTTACTAATAAGTTTTAAACCTTAAATAAAATTAACTTTTTAAATTTTTAAATGAATTTTTTTAATTTGTTATATAAATTATTCTATAGCTTAATATAATCGATTTTAAATTGAATTTTAAATAACAAATTTTGAATTTTTATCAAATTTCCTGAAGAATGTATTCACCTTAAATTTATTTTTCCCTAGATTTAAAATAAAAGACAAAAAAAAAATATTTATTTTAAAAAAAAATTGATGTTGTTTATTTCTTAATTTTTCCTTCCAGGAAAATTCTGGTCTAATAGTGCCTTGGATAATTGGATTTATTACATTTATGGCATTAGAAGCTGTAGCAATGGTTTATTCAAATGTCCTGCGGGATCATGTAAATAGGGTAAAGAAAAATATACATTATTAAATATATTTACGTAATGTAATTTAAGAAATCAGGAGATTTACTCTGAATAAATTTATTTATGTGTTTTTGATTCTACTCACACATTTAGAAACATCTTTTTTAGAAAAACCGTTAATAATTATATTAAAAATATTAAGAATAATAAATCACGAAACTTAAACCATCTAAGTATGGTTAGCGTGTTAGTTTGTCAAAACACCCAAGTTGGCTTACTTATTTTTAAATGGTTACCTATATATATATATATATATATATATATATGTAACAAAATAAGATTCACATAATATTCAACTATACGAAACTTTATTTAATTTATGGAAGAGATTTTATGTGGTAGTTACCAGAATCGAGCTCTTAGACCTCTAGAAAACTTCTGTAATACTAAGCGTTGAACCAAAACGGGATAAAACAAAGATTGTAATTCACTTTCAAAACAAAAACCCATCATATAACCCATAAATATTTGGTAAAATCGGATTCAATATATAGATCTAATTATTATTGGAATTAAGATTGATTACTTCTTTTATTTTATCAAAAAGTTCAATCAATTCTGTATTTCATAAAATAAAGTCAAGAGCTTCAGTTTAAGTGACAGTAATTATCCTCCAATTAAAGAGAAAATTTTTATACGAGTAATGATTAGCTCAATAAAAAGGCATGCAAATTTTTCAAAAATTTAGTAAAATATAAGGTCTATACATATAAGGTCAAATCATAAAGCATCTTAACCTGTTAAACATTGTATTTATTGTTTAAATAGGCTGTGTATTTGTGATTTAAGGAGGCATATATTTTAAAATTATTCTTTAACGAAGCTTTCTTAAACTATAGATTTTCCATATGGACGTAAAATTCAATTAAACTCACCGAAATTATAAGTGTATTCCAATATACCGTCGAACATACATACATGCATTTTTGAAAGCATAAATATATACTTATATGTATCTACAATAAATTTTTAGATTTATATATGTATGTATTACAAAATTAATATACCTACAAACATATATTCAAATATTTACAATATTAAATTTGATGTTCTTTTAAAAAATTTCCATTAAAATAATTACGAATACATAATTATATTGTCGTTTAAATTAAAAAGAAATTTATCATAAAATTTATGTAAAAATTTTTTTGCTTCGATGAGATTTAATTTTACAAATTTTCTCTCAAACTCAAGTTCGATATGACAAATTCAATTTACAAAATGTTTTTAAAAATCTTAAAATTATGTTTCATCATTAGCTATTCAACACATGTAAAAGAAAAATATTTAGTTGTGAAAACACAAATAAAGATCTAAAAAAGATAAAAGGTTTTTTCCAATTTAATAAATTTGTGATAACTGTTTTTTATTTTTGTGAAATAAAATTTCACTGAACTTAGAAAATATGCTCGAAACATATTTTTCAGAAGGACGATAACAAGAGGATTTGAAAAAATTCGCTTGGGAAACTGTCAGATAGGATATGACATAAATTTTTATAAAAAAGCCTATTTCTTAAATATTTTTTAAAAAATTTTATTTCTAGATAGGAAAATAGTTTGTTCAAATGTAAGTTAAATCTAAAAAAAACTTCAATTTTCATGGATAATAAAATAGCACCAGAAAGTGGTCGTTAGATATTTTACATTACTTCATGGAATCATAACCATGTTAGAACAAAGAAAAAAAGTTGTATAAATTCGAAAAATATTCCGCCAAAATTACATACACTCATTCCAATGTATTATGATAGATATTTTAAATTTGTATCATTCCAAATTTTCCCTCAAAAACAAATTCAATCAACCTCAAGAGATTTTCATGAAAATATTTTTATTAGCAATTAATTGGCAGTATTATTAGTTTTTGATAATATGCTTTCTCGAATTGTTTTCCTCTAATTTTAAAGCGGAAGATGCTTGCAAATGGTATATATAAAATAATAAAAATCATTTTCTTCTCTGTCTCTATATTTCTCACAACGCATTCCTTATATTTGAATTAAATAAATTTTTCTTTAATTGCTTTCATTTTTAATTTATAATAAAAGTTATTCGGTACACGCAATATGAATGAAAACGCGATTCAAAACGTAAGCAAGGATCCTGCAGTGTGAACCCAAAATACAAATTTAATTCTGTTCACATTACGCAATTTAAAATTTTTATCAAAATACCAGGACCATTGGAAAGAACCAGGAGCCATTTGTTCAAAATATAATAACTAAAGAGAAGGATCAAGAATTACTTTAGAACTAATTAAATGATTAATTTTCATCATATTATACCCACAAAATAATTCTTTTAAGTTCCATTCTATTTTTTGGTTAAATTTTTTTTTTTTTGAAAAGAATATAAAATTAAATGAAAATGAAAAAAACATGAAAATGTCATCAAAGCAATAAAGATCCTTACATTAATTTATTCTTTAATAAAAAAAAGTTCATTTTTTTTTACAAAAATTACAAAGAAAAAAAAATATTCTGATAAAGTGAAATAATTTTTTATCTGTAAGATACAAAATAGAAAAAGGACATTCTCCTCGATAATGTATCAGAAAACTTTCCTTTTATAGAAATTAAGAAAAGACAACAATAAAATGAAAAAAAATTAAAAACTTGAATTCTTTCGATACCATTTTGCGAATAATATTTGGGAACATAAATAAATATTGTTGTATAACATTTCTTGGATTTCGAATATCTTCATGTCTTTTTTTATGAAAATATCAAATTTTTGTAATATGTTCAAGGATTTGCAAAAGATGTACCTTTTTCTTCATTCATCTGTTCAATGAAAATTGAAAAATGAACACATAATGAACCCTTTTAGTGTCATAAGAATTTTTCTTCATTTTTTGGTAATTTCATTCGAATTGGGCAAATATTTACGTAATTTACTAAATTTTATGAAAATAACTACAAGATATATGAAGTAACTTCAAACATGAATATCCAAACTTTCGGCTTAACCGGGAAAAATCAAATTTCAAAGAACTCGACTTTTGAAAATCAAGAATACAAATTGAATACACTGGTACCAAAGTAAAAAATTTATAATCGACTTGTAACTAAGGTGCCATATTTAAAATCGAATCACTGTTAAATGTTAAAATTTTTATTATTGTTTATTTAATATGTCCCAAGCTATTTAAAAAAAAAGTTTCACACTTCTTAAAATCGTTACTTTCAATTTTATTTCAAGCACTTCAGCTTCTGCTGAGACCGTTTATCTGTCTGTTTAAAATACTTTTACGTTGTTTAAGATAGACAGCTGAATTTGTATACATACATTTATTGATGCTTAATTTTTTTAAGTCTGATATTTTAGCAGCTTTTAGGCATTAATCAATAGTTTATTTCGTTAGAAGAAAATATTTTTCCGTCCGCATCAACTCCCCGATTGTCGCTTCTTGAAATAGGTAATAAGTAAAATTTAACTTTGCACTGTCTTATACTCCACATTTTTATAAAAGCAAAAACTGAGACTAAAATCCACGATTTGTTTATTTCAACTTTCGGAACGTCGTATGTCCGAAATTACAAGCTTTCCCACTTTTTTATTAAAGCAAAAAGCTAATGATGAATTCCATTTCGTCGAAAAATATTATTATTTACGTCAACTAACGCAATTAACCCTCGAATTGATTAATGAAAGTGGGAAAAATGCAGTAAATTGTTTTAAAAGAGAAATACTTTTGCTTGTTTACGGGGATTGCAAAAAATTTTCTGTTGAAAAATTTATATGAATTTTCAGATATGATCTAGCAACCATTTTTTACTGTGAAGGCAACACTTTTGTGCGCGTTGTATTCTGGAATTACTCATTAGCAGAAAATTTTTATTAGCAGAAAACTGTTTTCGAATTTATTCAATCTACTTTTTCAAATTTAATTTTTTTCCTTTTTTGAAAAATTTCCCTTTTTTGAACTTTCAATCGCTTTAAAAACAAATGAATGTCAGGAAAAAAAATATATACCATCGTTAACGATCCGATCGAAGTCGATTAAGCTACTCCAGCATTAAAAGCATTGAGGCCAGCCACAAAGCTTTTAAAATTAAGCATAAACTGCATAAAAAGAAATTATAGAAAGATCTATTAAAATAAAAATTTTAATTTTAAATATTATTGTATTTTGTTGGCTTTTTACCCAAGTTTTTTATGTATTCATCCAACGTACGTACGTTCGTGCAATTTGTTTTTTTACCGACCGTATTGTGTAAACAATAGGTAGGTGATGTGATGGCAACAAATTTTGCATATCGAGTTTTCGGTGGGAACGTTCTTCTCCATAGTAGGGAAGTGTAAATAAACTATTTTTAGCAACCTGTCGGTCTGTCGGTCTATGTGTGCACGCGTGTATGTCAAGTTCGACTGAACCGATTTTGATGAAATTTTATATGTAAGTTTATTTTCACCATGGCACGAATTGATCATATTTTGGTATATATCAGGCCTCGGGAACTGTACTTTTTACCGGGCCTGTTTTACATTTTTAAAAATTTTAAAGAAAATATTCAACCGATTTACTTGAAATTTTATATATAAGCTCAGCTCGACCGTCCGCGATTATTTCTATGTTTTGGAAGAAATCAGGCATCGGCAACTAGACGTTTACTACGGGCCAAACATACACTTTTGTGTATATAAAGAGAAATAATCAACCGATTTCATTGAAATTTAATATATGAATTCCTCGTATGAAAACAATGAACATATAAATTTTTTGGAAAGATCAGGGCTCGAAAACTTATCTGCGGGCCGATTTTGCATTTTACCATATCTACGGAACGAATTTATGGAATTTCTTGAAATTTGATATTTGAGTTCTGGTTGTTACCGAAACTAACTGGCGAGCATTTCAGGGAATTCGGGTAACACAAAGCGAAACTCTACTAAGAGCCAAATTTACATTTTTCTAGGTATGTTAACTATAAGCTTACTAATGTCCTAAAAATTGGAAAGAAGTATTAACAGACATT